AGTAATAGTAGTAGTAGTATTAGTACTAGTAACTTAATATAACAGTACAAATGAAAAAGAAAAACATGGAAAACATAAGATAGAAAACATAAGAGTACCTTGGTCGGTAGTAGTGTGGGGCAAGAGAAGACCCTTTTTGTTTCCTGAAAATACAAACAAAAGAGATTTAGAGAGAAAACAATCAAACATAGAAAAGATTAAATTGAAAAGAAGAAGATAATCACAAGAAAAAAGTAGTGGTAGTACCGGCACAAAGGCGACCAATGATACGAGTGCCGCCGATGGAGGTCTTAACAACCGGAATGTGATCAGCCAACTCCGATTCGAATGTGCTGCACCAAATTCATTCATTCATTCATTCTCAAAATTAAAACTAATAAAAACAAAAGAAGAAAGGCTGATTACACAAAGAAACAAAAAACAAACCAACCTGTAGAAGTTTTCAGAACCACCAATGGCGACCAAACAATAAGCGTTCGAGAGCTTCGAAAACACTCCAACTTCGCACGAGTTCTCAAATTGCAGCCCTGATACCATCAATCATTATCATCATCACCACCATCATCATATTTGTTTCAATCTTCTTCTTATTAATCCGACCAATATAAACAAAACAAAACTAAACTAAACACAAAATCATTATAATTATTTCAAAAGGAACAAAAAAGAGGAGAAGAAGACAACTCACGAGTCGCCATGATTGTTGATGGCAATTTGCAAGGAAGACCACCGACTTAGGGATTGTAGTGAGAAAGAGCGTTCCTGTTTGTTGCGCAAGTAAGAGGAAGAAAGCAAAAGGAAGAGGGTTTCAATTTTAGGGTTTAAGATCATAGAGGCGTCTTCTAGTATAAATAGGGTTTGACAATTTTTGTGCCGCGCTGTGCTGTGAGATTGATTAGTCCCTTCTATTTATTTATTTGTTTTTATTGGAATTGTTATTGTTAATATTATTATTATTATTATTATTATTGAAGGGGCTGGTGAGACTTCAAGCAATTCTATAGAAAAAGACAAAACAGAGGTCCAAGATAAGAAAAAACCTGACAGAGGGGAGGTCGCCGGACGGCCGGAGCGCCGCTGCTTATCCGAGTGAGAGGAGATGGGGAAGTCGAGACTCAGAGTTGTAGAAGAAGATAAGATGACGGCAACTGTTTTTGGTTAGGGTTTTTTTTTTTTTTTTTTTTGATTCCGGGTCTTTTCTCTCTCTTTTTTTTTTTTTTTTTGAAGTGTCTTTGTCTTCATTTTTAATATATTGATTTTTTTTTTAAAATATTTTTATGTCTATTTAGTTTGCTTATATGAGTTATGTTTTTTAGTCGTGTTTAAGTTATAATTTAAGTTGTGTATGTGAGAAAAAAATAGTGTAGTAAAAGAATTAAATTTAAATTTTTATTAGAGAAAACATTATAACCATAAAAATTGAGTTATGACTTGAGTTGTGAAGGGCTTGTTCTTTTGATATTTTTGAGTTAGGTAACTTGAGTGTAGATTTTGAGTTGAATTTGAGTTATAACTTGAATTGAAGTTGTAATTTGAGTTTGTGTTTAGTTGTGTACATTTGAGTTATGGTTTGAGATAATAATCTTTTTTGAGTTTGTGTTTGAGTAAGTTAAAACTTGAATTTGTATTTAGATAATATTTTAATAAAAACTCAATGCTGATGAAAAATTTTAATAGGGTATATGGGTCTAATTTTATTCGTTTTTTCATTGTTAACGCATAGAAAAAAAATCATCTCAATCAGAATTAAAACGAAAAAGTTATATCATTTTTAAGAATAGAAAAAATATTATTCATTAACTTGAGTTTGAGTTTCTGAACTCGAGTTGAATGGAAAACTTGAATTTGAGTTTTAGTTCCAAACTCGAATTCAAACTTAAAAGAACATGAACTCAAATAAAATTATAACTCGAGTTATATTTTCTTAAATTTTTTATTCAAAAACCACTCTGCCAAACAAGGCGGAAATGAACAATGCCATAGCGATTACAAATAAAAGCATCACACTGAATTCCTTTCTCCTTCAGTAAAAACAAAAAAATAAAAACATTTTCCCTAATGGATTGTGGAAGGAGAAACCGATGAAACTTTTCGTCCACTAAAGGATTCGACCATAGTAATTGGTTTTAGATTTGAATATCAAAGTTTTAATTTAGCAATAAAATATTACAAGAATAGCAAAATTTTAATATCATTAAAATAATTACTATTTCATTATATAGTATAAAATCAGATATCATTATGATAATGACTATTTAATCATTCAAAATATTATAAGAATAGTAAAATTTTGATATCATTAAAATATGATTATATCATTATATAGTATTAAATCTGATATTATTATGATAATGACTATGTCTTTTTTGTTATATTTATAATATTCTGAAATTTTTGCTAAATTTCAACTCAAGATATGAAATTTTGTAATTTTGCCAATATAGTGTAATTATCTCTCAAGTCTACTCTCGGAGGAAAAATTTTCAAGGAAATAAACAACTCACAGGCGCTGTGGACTGCCCTGAATCCGAACCTATGGTGGGTCCTAATCCTTCATCCTCAGGTAATCCCGAAACTCTCCATGATAGACTAGATGACCCCATTGCTCTAAGAAAAGGTGTTAGGACATGTACAAAACACCCAATTTCCATATTTGTGTCATGATAATCTATCACCCTCGTTTCGTGGTTTCACAACAAACCTTTCTAGACTTGATATTCCCAGGACATTTGAAGAAGCTCTAGTTGTCCCAGAATGGAAGACTGCGGTGCTAGAAGAGATGCATGCCCTTGAGAAAAATAAGACTTGGAGCCTAGTAGAACTACCACAAGACAAGAAAGTGGTGGGATGCAAGTGGGTGTTCACAGTTAAAGTAAAGCTAGATGGTTCAGTAGAGCAGTACAAAGCCCGATTGGTAGCAAAGGGTTTCACTCAAACCTACGGAACAGACTACACAGAAACGTTTGCTCCAGTTGCAAAGCTCAACACTGTTAGGGTTCTCTCATCCTTAGCAGCAAATATGGATTGGCCTCTTTATCAACTCGATGTGAAGAATACTTTTCTGAATGGAGAGCTAGAAGAAGAAGTATATATGAGTCTCCCACCTGGTTTCTATAAGGGCAAACGGGACAATATAGTGTGTAAGCTGAAGAAGTCTTTATACGGTTTGAAGCAATCACCTAGGGCTTGGTTTGAAAGATTCTCCAAAGTAATCAAAGGTCATGGATACTCACAAGGACAATCAGATCATACTCTCTTCGTCAAGCACTCCACAAACAACAAGGTTACAGTTTTGATCATGTATGTGGATGACATAATATTGACTAGAGATGACTTCCAAGAGATGGAGGAAATTAAGAAGATTATGGCTAGGGAATTCAAGATCAAGGACCTAGGATTCATGAAATATTTCCTAGGGATGGAGGTTGCAAGGAGTAAGAAGGGGATCTCCATATCACAAAGGAAGTATACGATGGATTTATTAAAAGAGACAGGAGTGCTGGGTTGCAAGCCCATAGACTCTCCTATTGAACCAAGAGGAAGGAAGAATTCAGGTGATGGAGATCTGGTAGACATAAGTAGATATCAAAGACTTGTTGGAAGATTGATCTATCTCTCACACACAAGACCAGACATAGCCATTGCAGTCAGTGTGGTTAGCCAATACATGCATACAACACGCCAAAAACATCTTGATATAGTCTAACGCATATTAACATATCTCAAGAAGAATCCAGAGAGAGGACTGTTCTTCCGGAAGAACGAGGATAGGAAGGTGAAAATCTACACGGATGCAGATTGGGCAGGTTCTGAAGAAGATAGGAGGTCGACATCCGAGTATTGTACTCAGGTTTGGGGAAACCTGGTGACTTGGCATAGCAAAAAACAGGCTGTAGTTGCAAGAAGTAGTGCTGAAGCTGAATATAGGGCTATGGCTCATGGGATTTGTAAGGCAATTTGGATAAAACGACCACTGGAAGAATTAAGAATTAAGTGTGAGTTTCCTATGCAGCTTTATTGCGACAACAAGGCTACGATTAGCATAGCACACAATCCAGTCCATCATGACAGAACTAAACATGTGGAGGTGGATAGGCATTTTATCACAGAAAAAATTGAGAGTGGGATAATCAGTGTTGGATACGTTCCTACGAAGCAACAAGTGGCTGATATTCTAACTAAAGGACTGCATGGACCAGCGTTTGAAGAATTAGCAAGCAAGCTTGGACTCATAGACATTTACGTCCAAGCTTGAGGGGGAGTGTCGGCATATTAGGGTAGAATGGTCTAATCGGATTTTATTAGGATAAATCAGTTTGGAAGATTTGGATATTCAAATCTTCTCTTATCTTCTCCTATTGATTATCCCGGTTGGTTAGGATTAGCAATTAGTCAATAAAATCTTATTTGAATATTAAATTCAAATCAGTCACTTTATTAGGAGATTTTCTTTCCTTTTTATTCGGATAAGCCAACTAACCTTGGCTGTCTATTTATTTGTATTTCCGCAACATTCAATAATATAGCAGAATATTTGCTTTCAAATCTGCTTTCAAGACTTGTCATTTAACAACATGTTGCGGAAGTGATATTCGAAAAGCAACATGTATTACATATACACAAACATATCCATTTTTGTCTATTGGCTATGTCTGTGTACACATATTCAGATAGATACTTGATATCAAAGGCTCCAAACCTGTCAAGTGGCTAACTACTTTTTGTTTGTCCTTTGGGACCGATTACTTGTATTTATTTGATAAGTAAACAGTGAAAAAGCTCGTCTGGCTTAAAGGTTACACATTCAAAATAGAGTTTAAAGCAACGTGCTGCTAGTAAGTCTCACAAATTTCTCAAACAAAGTGTGGAGTGTGGACCAAATATAACCACTAATGCTCAAACTTAAACATTCAAAAATCTGCAGCAGAACCATTTCTTTCCAGCATAAAAGAAAGAAAAAGAAAGAGGGGACCGATGTAATCTCATCCAGTAGCACGTACCTTCTGATACTTTTGGCTGATAACCATCAGCAGATGTTCTAGGAAGAAGTAATAAGTTGGCCTGTGATAGTGACAGCATTGCCATCAAATGTAAAACTGACAATACCTCATACCAAGCATTAGATATGGCTGTTTCCTGCAAAATTATTCTTCAAATTAATTCCATTGAGAAAACAGTGAAGTAAAAGCTCTTAACAACATTTTCCTCTACATAAGAGATCATAAGACTGGTCGAACATTCGCACCTCTGCCTCATCCTCCTGATTTATCCATACAAACTGTACCTCGTGCTGTAGCTGGCTTCCTTGACGGATAAAAATTAAGGTCAGGATTTATCCAAAATAGCAGCAGACACATTTTCAAGAAGTAACATTAGAAACATCATTTACCATCTTTCACTAGCCCCAGAAGAACAGGCAAATAATCTTCAAGAGCCTGCTGAAGATCAGCTAACGTTGAACCACCTGAAGAAAGAATTAATTTGATGTATATTAAAATCTGGATTCACATGTAACTGAAAGAACAACAAGCCTTGTCTACAACAGACCATGTTGGGTTTTTCTCCTCGTTCTTGTAATTGTCGGACCCTCTTGGCCAGCCATTACTACTATACGAGTTCTTAAAGCAGATAAGCGTTCCACTAAACTCTTGGATAAGCGATCACCAAGTGATTGAGAGAAATCAACAGGTTTCGGAATCCTTAGACCAGGAACATAGACAGAAACATCTCCAATGTTTCCTGGTCTTCTCCTGTTTCCTCCTGTATCCTTCGGTGTTGAAAAAATGCATCCCATATCCTGTGACTCCCAGAAACTGTCAACCCAAATGCAAATTAGACAATCAGCATCCAAAGAATTGAACTTTTGTAATATGCATACACGCATGTATATGTTTCTCAGCACTTTGTACATCCCTCTCTCTCACATGAAACGATGGTATTTTCAGAAGACCACGCAAGTAGTAGCTTTCCATAAATATGAACCAAAGACATTGATGATTCATACAATAAAGTAAGGGACTAACAAGGAAAATTGAACATAAAGAGTGATGAATGCATATAGACTAATTAAATGCCAACCAACAAAGCACAACTAGTAGGTGGTTCACGAGCACTTTCCAAATGACTCTTACTAGAACCCTCCTTAAGGGGACTACAATAAAATAATACTTAACAATGATTTTCCCTTAACCCTTCTCTCAATTTCAAAAAGTAAGGGACTAACAAGGAAAATTGAACATAAAGAGTGATGAATGCATATAGACTAATTAAATGCCAACCAACAAAGCACAACTAGTAGGTGGTTCACGAGCACTTTCCAAATGACTCTTACTAGAACCCTCCTTAAGGGGACTACAATAAAATAATACTTAACAATGATTTTCCCTTAACCCTTCTCTCAATTTCAAAAAAAAAAAAAAAAAAAAAAAAAAAAACAAACCAAAATTTTTTATAAAATATTTTTCAAATAT